CTACTTATCTTGATGAATGGAAAAAATTGTTTCCTTTTGAATCTTTTTCCCTTTGTTCTTTTTCCCATTGTCTCCTTCCTCCCTTTATTTATTCTATATACTTTTTCATATTTTTTATTGTATTGGCTTTTACCCTTATTGAAACTGCAATAAAAATTGTTATCAATGGAAAGGTGGAAAGAGGACAACCAGAAGTAAGATGAATTAACCCAGTTAATGTGCTGAGTGCACGACTGAAGGACAAAGTTAGGAAGAAGTCCTCCATCATAACATTTATCATGTGTGGTTGCAAAGATCTGATATACTCCTCCTGTCAGAAAATTTATTTGTGTGGTTGCAGAATTGAGCCAACTTGATGACACATAATCAATAAGGCTGGATAACAATACCGGCATTGTCCTTTTATGTCTATTCTCATTTTTGTCAGGATTTTCCATGTGTGTTATATTATCACATCTATTTATGACACATCTAGGTTCCTCTTGGATGCTTGCTTAGAGATCCATCTTCTCTACAAGAACTTTCTCTTAATAAAGCTACTTGATTTAACTGCTCCTTATATGGAAATGGCTAGAAACAGATGGGGTGGATATTTCCACAACACTAGGAACACAACACGGATGGAAACAACCTAGAACTAAGGAGAAATTTCCTGACAGTTAGAACAATTAACCAGTAGAACAATCTGCCTCCAGAAGCGGTGAATGCTCCAACACTGGAAGTTTTTAAGAAGAGACTGGACAGCCATTTGTCCGAAATGGTATAGGGCAGTGGTGGTCAACCTATGGCACGCGTACCGGAGGCAGCACTCAGAGTCCTCTCTGTGGGCACGTGCACTGTCGCCCCAGCCCTGCCTCCCCCCACGGCCCCCTTCTCACCAGCAGCCCTCTTGGAGGAGAGTCGCCCTGGGGCACGGACCGCATGGAGCAACACAGCCAAGCACATGGCAGCCAGGCAGCAGAGACAAGGCTCCGCCCTCACGCCCCTTCGCACACAGATGATGCTGCGGGGCACGGGCGGAGGGCATGGCTGCCACGGCGCTGCTGGGCTGCCTGGATGATCTACTGTAGTGGGCCGTGGAGGCGCTGGGTGGCCTTGCGGGGGAGCGGGGGTGGATCGGGCGGGGCGCAGAGTGGGGCGGGCGGGGAGGTAGGGGCGGTTTTGGGGCACCCAGTCTCTAAAAGGTTTGCCATCACTGGTATAGGGTTACCTGCCTGAGCAGGGAGTTGGACTTGATGACCTCCAAGGTCCCTTCCAACATCATCATCATTATTACTATTATTATTATTATTATTATTATTACTACTACTATTATTATTATTATTATTAAACTACTGCCCAGCTGCCTTTGAGTAAATGATTTCAACCTGACATGAAACTCTAAAACCCTCAAGTATGGACCCTCCAAAAATAATCCCATGATTGTCATTTTCAAGGTACCCAAAGATCATTAACCATATGACAGGGAAAAAAACCCCATACCAACTACATTTAATTTAATCTAATTTTAAAGCTAAATGTGACAAAATCAATTTTAGCAATGGAGAATATTTGTAATTCAGGACTGAAATGAAGTGTCCTTGGTGCTCTCTGAGCTTGCTTACTTTTCTTGCAAACCTTTCATTTTAGCTTTTGCCAGTCTTGTCATTCTGCAGCAAAGCAGATTTTAGCACCTTCATAGAAAAAGCGTTTGCATGTGCATTTATAGGCTTTCTCACCACTGTGGCTCATTTGATAAGAATGAAAGTCTCCCTCTGAATCTCTTTCCATATAATGCACATTTATATGAGTTTATAGTGAGGATTCAGTGCCATAAAGACATTTTTGACTGAACAATGCTTTCTCATTCCTATTACCCATCCCATGTCCTGATTTCACAGAGTAGAAAACAAATCTGGCTTTGTTATTTTCACATGCAAGAGACAGTAACTCCTTTGTGAATTGAGAGATGTCTCCCATATATTTCTGGAATGGTTTTTTTGATACTAGGACACACAAACTCTTTTGCTATTTAACTTTGCAATAAAAACTCTTTTGCTATTTAACTTTGCAATAAAAAACAAAAATCGCCACAAAATTAGGATAACATAGCCAATGAGCTCAGGTTGTATTTTCTAACCCTATGCTCCTTATGGTTTTCTTTCTCAGATATTACTTTGCATTACATAATGAGAAGCAAGGATGGAAAGGGAGATTGTAACAATATTAAGCAAATGAAGAAATAGTGCGATCATAATAAGGGATTAAGGGTTGATTATCTGCCTGCAATTCTACTCCAGTGGATATATTCATCAGAGGGAATTCCTAGAAATCTACATTTCTTAAATATTGTGCTAGACACCATGAAGACACCATAAATACTCTTTAGCTCCACTTATTTCTTGCCTGGGAACCTCCTACTGAGTAAAAATTACAATCAGGATTGAAGATTCATCTTCCAATCTACTCTGGACTGGAAAGGCAAAATATTCTCACATATTTGTATATGTCTAATATTTATGTGCAGTATTGCCCAAGTGGACTCTTTCATGAGATTTTAGATTACTATTCCTGTTAAAACTCTTCCCTCACTCCTTGGACCGATACGGCTACTCTCCTGTGTGGATTTTTTTATGGTAAGTAAGAAGGCTACTCCTTCTAAAGCTCTTTCCACACTCCGTACATTGATACGGCTTCTCCCCTGTGTGGATCCGTTTATGGGCAGTAAGGTAACTGTTGGTACTAAAACCCTTCCCACATTCCATACATTTATAAGGCTTCTGCCCTGTGTGGGTTCTTTTATGGTAAGAAAGATTACTGCTCCAGGCAAAGGTCTTTCCGCAGTCCATACATTTGTAGGGTCTTTCTCCTCTGTGATTCCTTTGATGGCTTCTAAGGGAATAATTATCAGGGAAAATCTTTCCACACTCCAAGCAGGCGTGCGGTTTCTCCTCTGAATGGGTCATTTCGTGGGAAATGAGGTGATCAGATAGTGAAAAACCCTTTCCACAGTCCGTGCACTTATATGGTTTCTCCTCCAGGTGGATCCTTTCATGTTCCATAAGGGATGCATTTTCACAGAAGCCCATTCCACCTTCTCTGCATTTATACGGCTTGCCCCCTGCATGGATTCTTTTATGGGATGTAAGGTTACTGTTTTGAGTAAAAGTCTTCCCACACTCCGTGCATTTGTACGGTTTCTCCCCTGTGTGGACGAACTTATGAGAAGTAAGACGACTGCCCTGAGTAAAGCTTTTTCCACACACCGTGCATTTATATGGCTTCTCCCCTGTGTGGATAAACTTATGCGAAGTAAGGTGGCTGCCCTGAGTAAAGCCCTTTCCACACTCCATACATTTATATGGCTTCTCCCCCGTGTGGATTCTTTTATGGGTAGCAAGAGCACCACTTTGAGTAAAAGTCTTTCCACATTCCATGCATTTATAGGGCCTTTCTCCTCTGTGATTCCTCTGGTGGCTTCTGAGAGAGCAATTATCACGGAAGGCCTTTCCACACTCGCTACAGGTATACGGTTTCTCTTTTGAATGGGTCATTTTATGGCGGATGAGGTGACTGGATTTAGAAAAGTTCTTCCCACACTCCAGGCATTTATAAGGTCTGTCTCCTGTAGGCATCTTTCTATGATGAGTAGGCCGAGTGATCCACGAAAAGCTTTTCTTAATTCCACTTTGTGATCCGTTTCTCTCATCACTTTTTGGTTCTGGCTGATTGGCAAACTTCCTTTTTTCCTCTTTTGGGTGGATTGTTTGTTGCTGTTCCTTGCAATTCTTACCCTCTTGGACATTCTTTTCTTTAAAAAAGAAACATGAGAAATTGTAGCAAGATTAGGACCGTGTTTAAAGATCATTTTTTCCCCCTGAAATTTTGCCAAAGTATCATCAAAATAACTTGGCTGATTTTCTGGCTAATATCAAAGAACTTGATTTAAGCTTCTAGTAAAGATGCAGTTCCAAGTGGGCTACTACCAAATTCATATATCCACATCAAATCAGATTACAATTACCCTCAGAGAAAACACAGATCTAATCTTTGACAACCAATGTGTGCAAGGCCCTCGGTGATATGGGTCAGTTCCATGATGCCATGAAGTCCTATGGTGCATTGTATGCTCTACCACAGGGGTAGGCAACCTTGGCTCTTTTATGACTCGTGGACTTCAACTCCCAGAATTCCTGAGCCAGCATGGGGGAACTATGGCCCCTTCATGACTTGTGGACTTCAACTCCCAGAATTCCTGAGCCAGCATGGGGGAACTATAGCCCCCTTTATGACTCATGGACTTCAACTCCCAGAATTTCTCAGCCAGCATGGGGAACTATGGCCCCCTTTATGACTCGTGGACTTCAACTCCCAGAATTCCTCAGCCAGCATGGGGAACTATGGCCCCTTCATGACTGGTGGACTTCAACTCCCAGAATTCCTCAGCCAGCATGGCTCAGCTTGGAAACCTCTCTCTTTCCCCTCAGCATGGCTGGCTCAGGAATTCTGGGAGTTGAAGTCCATGAGTCATAAAAGAGCCAAGGTTGCCTACCCCTGCTCTACCACCTTGGGCCAAATTAAATCCCCAATAATTATCAGCCTGGAGCACACATCAAGTGACCACAATCAGGACTGGCAAATTGGTCACCAAGTGGAAAATCACACGACCGTGACTGTGCTTACAGTTTAATTTCAGCTTTCCTTTTTCCTACTTCCCTGCCCTTTGGAATTCTCACCCTGGTGCTGGGATAATTAGCAAAACGGGAATAAAAGTTTGTACTGTATTAACAGTAATTGGAGACAAAGGGATGTAAGAGAGTAAGCAGGAATACAATGGGAACGCACATCAAAAGGAACGTGCTGGCACCCACAGTCTGCCTAGCTACGAGCCTCTTAGAAAGCAAACAAAGTCGAGGGCATTAAACTACAGGCAGCAGCTGCGAGCCAGCAAATTAAGGTTACAGATTATCAACTTGTATTTAGAAATTTGTAAGGACATTTATGGTGCTAAGGAAAGCAGCTCAGAATGACATCGCTTGTTTAAGGTCTGTGAGAGAGAGAAAATGTCAGGGACAGGACAACTTATACTAACTGGTAAATGTGGCTAAGGGACAATGCAAACTTTGTAAATCCATGCCTTGGTTGCAAAGCTACTTTTTATTATTTTTTATTTTTATTTCTGTTGTAACTGCAAGATCTACTGTAGTGGAGCTCTTCTATCCCATGCTGAAAACCAGAAACTGGGGAAGGGAGCAGAGAGATATTGGACTCTGAGATCTCCAGTGGAAAAAATTGGAGTGGAGGACAGTGGCAATCACATCTCATTTCCTGTTCATCTTTTCCTTACTAACAGAGAAGAAGTAAGTACTTTTACTTGGTTACTTAGTTTACTGAGTTAAAGATTATTAAGTACTTTTCTTACTAACAAAGAAGTGATAGAGGGGGGTTAAGTTGCCGGAACTTTGGGGGAGGGTGACCATGTCATATTGGAATTCATTATAATGCAGACAGAAACAATAAAACATAGAGTTTCCTGCATGAGCAGGGGGTTGGACTAGAAGATCTCCAAGATCCTTTCCATCTCTATTCTATTATATTCTATCCTATTCTATTTCCTATCCTATTTTCTATTCTATTCTATTCTATTTCTATTCTATTCCTATTCTCAACTTATTTTCCGAAATAATGGATGAAAACTAATCAAGGATCGAAGCAACCTAAACTAAGGAGAACTTTCCTAATAATGGAAACAATTGACAGCTTGTCTTCAGAAGTTGTGGGTTTTCAATCACTGGAAGCTTCTAAAAAGAGACTGGACAGCCATTTGTCTCAAATGGTATAGGGTTTCCTGCTTGAGCAAGGGGTTGGACTAGATACAGGGCTTTTCAACCAGTGGTACGGGTACCACCTGTGGTACATTGGCACCTGGCAGGTAGTATGCGACCATCCTAGAAAAGTAGCGGGGGAGGGGAATGAGCTGAGGGAGAGATGGCTGGAGCTGCAGGGCTGTCAGGGCTCAGCGGAAGCACCAGGATCAGTGCTTCTTCGGGGCTGTCAGGGCTCAGTGGAAGCGCCAGGATCAGTGCCAGCTGGAGCTCGGCGCTGATCCTGGTGCTTCTGCTGAGCCCAGAAGAAGCCCCGATCAGCTGGAATGTTGCAGCATCTCCAGGGTCTTGTGATTCAGATGCTTGACAACTGATTCATATTTATGACATCACAGTGTCCCAGGGTCATGTGAAGTGACCAAAACCTGCTGCAACCACCCAGCAGATGGGGGGAATAAAAACCAACCCCCCCCACCTCCGCTGCCAATCCTCAACAGAAATGCTCACAAAAATGAAAACCTCGGACAGGAGGAAGAGCACCACCGGGCGGGCAGGCAAGTGTCTTGCTTGGCTGTGGCTTGGGGGGCACTTTTTTCAGTGCCATTGTAACTTTGAACAGTCACTAAGTGAACTGTTGTAAGTCGAGGACTACCTGTACTTTATCACTTTTTTTCTTTTTTTTGGGGGGGGGTCATCAAGTTTTTGACACCTTGCTAGGCGACTGGTGGTACTTGGATGTTGCCATATCGTAAAAGTGGTACAATGGGTGAAAAGGTTGAAAAGCCCTGGACTAGAAGACCTCCAAGGTCCCTTCCAACTCTGTTATTCTGTTATTCCTGGTCACTTCCTAGTCATTCCTCTCGGGAATGGGCCAATTCATCATGGGCCAACTCGCTGCGGGACAATTCAATGCAGGATGAAACAGTGATAACTCACTGTTTTTTTGACATTGTCTCAATTTTTGTCATTCACATTTGATTTGGTCCCTCCTTTAGTGATTTTTTTTAATAATTCTATTCCACCATTTCTTCAATATTAGTGTAACTCTTGTCGTGTGGCGAGTTGGCTGTGACAAATTAGAGATAAAACCACAGATAGAGGTTCTTACCTAGGGAAGCCAGATTCCTAGAATTCTCCAGCATGACCTCCCCATGGAGAGCTTTTTGGTCAGGATCCAGCTGACACCACTCTTCCTCAGAAAAATACACAGCCACTTCCTCAAAAGTCACAAGATCCTGAACAAGGAAACAAATTTCCCCATTAACAAACAACCCCAAGAAAAAAATTGAGACTTCTCTTCGATCAATGCCAGCGGATATTTGCAATGAATGAAATGAGCAACGGCTGCAGAATTCAAAATAAGATCTCACAACTTTTGGCAGATGGCACAACATTTTATCAGGTTTACTGCAGGACTTTTAATGCCTTTCAGTGAAGCCAAGTAAAATAGTCTTATCAGTAGCTCCAATTCTTTCTATATGGGCAGAAGGTAATACTGGAGAAACCCATCTGACAAATGTCATGGTTCCGACAGATGAAACCCTTCAAAAGAACTTCGGGGCATTGTTTACCTTAAAGAATCTTTTATTTGAGAAACAAAGTAGCGGCACTACATAGTCAAAACCAAAAACTAAATTCCCCTCCCCTGGATATGAAGTATCAAAGTACAATTCCCTCCTCCAATAAACAGTCATAAATCACATTCCCCAATTAGCTTGAAGCATGGGCTTTCTCCCCAGCTCTCCAGCCTGCCAAAACTCTTAGCAACTCTGGGCCCAATGACCTTAGATTCCCACGGCTGAGTTATTATTGTTATGACTAGCTGGACTCTCATCCACATTCCCCCTCCCAGCATCAACTAACTCTAGAAGCAATAGAGAAAAATGGCTGCATTTCCATCTGTTGCCAGAGCAAGAACATCCAATGTTAGCAGCATTGACAGCATTTTTGCCAACCGCCTGCTTTATCCACTTACATGCTCACACTCTGCACCACAATAAAAATATTAAGAGAGATTGTAATTGCATATGGGATTGACCCTGAGAGATAGGAAGAAGAGCCTTAGCCGAATAACTGTCTGCTCAATGAAATCTCAATCTCAGAAAAGAAAAACAAGGGATGGGAGGGGGGATTTCTTTCAGACTTGCAACATTAAATTAAGTAGAGCTAGAATTCATTGTCCTCATTCTTGTCTGGACTATCTTGAAAGGCTAATAGAACTCATCCATGGATCTGTGTGAGGACTACCAAGAGGTGGGTGAGATGCAGCCCAAGGTCTAGTTCTCCTCGATTTCCAGGGAAGCTGCTCACCTTCTGAACCAGAGCAGTGAAGAACATTTCCTGAGAAGACGTTTTTAAATTTTGCAAAGCTGGGTTGATTGGCATCGAGGAACAAATCAGGTTGTTAGAAATTCCTCACAAAGTTCTAAGTGCCTTGATGACGAGCCACTTGGGCATACTTTTTGTTTACAGTTATTTTTGTTTGGCCATTTTATTAAACCTTTTTATAGTCTTGTATACATCCATTCATTTTTATACACCAATATGTGTCAACGCTGCTAACATCGGATGTTTTTGCATTGACAACAGATGGAAATGTTGCCATATTTTACCTTTTGCTTTTAGAGTTAGATGATGCTGGGAGGAGGGATGTGAACGAGAGTCCAGTTAGGCATAACAACACTAAACCTAGCGTGAGAAACAAGGTTATTGTTAACCAGAGCTGATAAGGAATTGGCCGGGCTGAAGAACTGGAGAGGAAGCCCGCACTTCAAGCTAATTGGGGGATGTGATTTAGGACTGTTAATTGGAGGAGGGAATTGTGCTTTGATACTATGTGCGCAGGGGAGGGGAATTCAGTTTTTGGCTTGATTATGCAGTGCCGATGTTATGCTACTCAAAATAAAGATTCTTTAAGGTAAACAATGCCTCGAAGTTCTTTTGAAGAGTTTCATCTGTCGGAACCATGACAATATGATTATGTGTTTAGGAAAAGAAGATTGAATTCTTCTAAGGAAATAGAGAAGAGAATGGAGGCTCCTTTTAATTGTTGCTGTCTGTCTAGTCACTTGAAATATTTTTTACACTAATTATAGTAAAAAAAAGTTACACAATGGCGGGGGGGATTACAATAGATTTTCTTTCTTGATTCTGCACAACACTCTTGAGGCAGGCTAAACTGGGTGTGAACATTCAATGACTCAATCTAAATTTTTCCATTGCACGTTGCTTTGAAACAGCAATATTGTGCCCTTTTTCTGGATTGTGAGGTTCTGAGCTGAATCATTCATGGCCTCGTCATCTTTTGTTTGGATTTGAGCCGTGGTAGTGTAGTGGTTCGAATGCAGTTATTGCAGGCTACTTCTGCAGTTCAGCACTTTGATTCTCACCGGTTCAAGGTTGACTCGGCCTTCCATCCTTCCAAGGTTGGTAAAATGAGGATTCAGATTGTTGGGGGCAATATGCTGACTCTTAGAGTGGGCTGTAAAGCACTGTGAAGCGGTATATAAGTCTAAGTGCTAGTGTTATTGCTATTGCTGTAATATGCTTTATTTGGGGCTACTCTTGCAAAGTATTCGGAAACTATAGCTGGTACAGAAATGCATTGGTTGCTGGTTTGCTTCCAGATCCAATTCAAGCTGTTGGTTATCACCTCTAAAGCCCATCATGGTATGGGACCTGGAGGATCTGAAGAACTATCTTGCCCCAATTAGATTGGCCCAACCCACTTTTTCAGATACACTCCCTACTGACGAAGTAATTTTGGCTAGTGGGGTCAAGGAGAACAGCATTTCCTGCTGTCATCTCTGCCATTTATAACATGGTACTCCTCAACATGAGATCCGTCCCACCCTTTTTAGCTTTCCTTAAAACTTGTGTATGCTGTTCGGCCTGGGGCCTGAATGGGGACGTGTCATGATGGAACTGACTGGATTAAAAACAAGATCCCACCTCCACTCCTTTATAAAACTCCCTGCCTTAGCTATTTTCTTTGTTAACTTTAATGCTGTATCTATTGTTCTACTCTTTTAATCTTTCATATCATTTTAGCAGAGTATATATATACTGCCCAAGTTGCATGTCACTGAAATGGGTGGCATATAAATGTAACAGATGAAAATAAAAACATTTTGCCGCTGGAGATGACATCTCCCTCCACTTTTCTGGCCGTTCAGAAGGGTCTGAAAACCCGATTCTGCCAATTGGCTTGGGGTTGATGGGGTGTGTGTGCTTTGCTGGAGGTAGTTGATTGAGTAAGAGACAAAAGTCCACCCGCAAATGGTCCAGGCCAGGGGTAGGCAACCGTGACTCTTTTATGACTCGTGGACTTCAACTCCCAGAATTCCTGAGCCTATGCTGGCTCAGGAATTCTGGAAGTTGAAGTCCACGAGTCATAAAAGAGCCAAGGTTGCCTATCCCTGGTCCAGGCTCTTGGTTTTTAATCTTCTTTTAATTATTGTTAATTATAATGGTTTTATATTTATGCTTTTATGCCATTCTGAGCCACCCAGAGTCACACTGGACACTGAGGCAAGAGGCATATAAATTTAATAAACGTTATTTATAAGAAAATTTATATAGCCATCCAATTCATTTTCAGTGATTCTGGGTGGTGTACAAAATGCATATATTGCCTTGAACTCTAGGACAAAATGAAACCCATCCAAGATTCGTGGATCTTTCCCAATATTCCTCCTACCTGAGGCCGAGGTGCAGTTGCTCTTTCAGCTACATCCCAAAGAGGAAGTGATTCGAAAAACATCAAGGAGTGCTTTTGGTTCTCTGTGAAAAGGCGAAAAAGTGTGAAAGCAGATTTGTTAAAAAAAAAAAATCGAGAAATCCCACCCAAGAGCAGCAAAAGAATCAGTCAGCTTGATGTCCAAACCTCACATCACACAGTTGCAGCTTCCATTACCTGACATGGTATCCTGATTTTGATCTTTCTGAAAGATCTCCCCAATCAGTAGCTCTTGAGAGAGTTTGGATTCTTCCCTTCCCTTGACATACTCAGTGGCTGCTTCCAAGGATATCTGGACATGATGTCCCAGTAGAAACAAGGAAGAGCAGAGAGAAAGAAATGAATTCTCGTACTGCACCCTCACACTGGGAGACCCCAATGTGTATCACTGAAGATGAAAAATGAGGGTGGGAGAATTCCCCAAATACATCTTCTAAAAGAAGAATGGAACAACTGGCCTTAGCAGTTCATAATCCCAGAAAACTCTGTCACTGACAAATTCAGAGAGATCATTAGAGCTATATTCTCATACCTGCAACTTTTCTTGCATCTTTTCCTCCTCCTGGCTCAGCAGGAACCCTTCGGCCAGGGCCACCACCTGGGAACTCGTCTCTGCGCCACACTCCCGTACCCATTTCTCCATCTCTGGGGGAAGGACAGCCAGGAACTGCTCCAGGAGAACCAGGTCCAACATCTGAGCCTTCGTGTGTCTCTCTGGCTGCAGCCACTGAAGGCAAAGGCGGTGGAGGTGACTGCAAACATCTCGGGGCCCAGTCACCTTCTGGAACTGTACTTTGCTGAGGTGACAGCAGTGGACCTCTAAAGCGTTAGTTCCCACTTCCTGGATCTTCTGCCTAAAACGTGACCCATTCTTCCCACAGCTCCAAGCAAGAGGGCCTTTTCCAGTTCCTACATCTGCTGGGTGTTGTCCCTCCATCTTCTCTTTTTTCTCTAATCCAGCTGCAAAATGGGTCAATATATATCCAGAGATCTTCCTATTCACAAGATCTGAATTTCACGGTGAGGATCTGGTCAAGTTTCCCAAGGACATTCAGCCCTCCACACTTACAAGATAGTTTTGTCTCTAGATGGAGCAGGAAAGGTTTCCAATTTACATATCTGAAAGGGAAGACAACAGAAATTCCCAGTAATTATAGAATAACTAATTTAACCACCGAGGCTCCTTCTCCAAAGCAAAAATAAAAAGTCTAATGAACCTACAAATGTCTGGAAAGAAGGAGCAGAATCTTATTAGGTGGGTTGGTTTATATGGATCTGAGGGAAATCCAGGAGAAACCCTTCTGGATCAACTTCTACCAATAATTCAAAATACTGGAAAAATACATAAAATATGAGGTTGAAGGCTTGTTCTCCAAGATTGTGGTTTGGTAACATCTTCAGAAACCTTCGGAAACCAATCCACAAGCTTGGAGAACAAATTTTCCCCCCCACATCCTACACATGAGCTACAGAAATGCGCCACTATTGCATAAATAAAATATGTTTTGGATTCCCATCTGTTTATTCCACTGATTTCTGTTACAAACTCTTTAAATCATGAATGTCACAGGTCACAAACAGAAATTTTGAAGCGAGCGCTATGTAAGCCCATTTAATAAGTAAATAAATCAATATTTGAACGTATAATAAAAGCAAACAGAAGCCCATCTGGCCCAAACCCCTTTAGGAACTTCAGAAGCCTGAATTAACAAGCCATCATCCAATGCATATGGCACTAACACTCATAGGAATAATCCACATACAATTTAACACGATCTTCTTACAAACACATTCCCCACTTCTTAGCTTAATCCAGTCTTTTTCCAACTTCCACTTCAAGAGTGTAAAGATGCCAACTTTGACAAAGACTGGGGTCATCGGGCACACGGTGCGAATGCTGATTCTCAGCCCCGCTCGTATCTCCCTCCATGCAACGATTCCCTCTGCCAGCAGAGTCCCTTTGCGGTCGTGGGGAAAGGTTGGGAAGCAGCACCCCAGTTACGGTCCTTGCACACCCGTCCTTCCACCCGGGTCCGGCTTCCAGCAAGCCTCCCCCTACTCCCCCCAATGCAGAGCCTCCCCCAGGAAATGGGGGGAAACGGCCCCTCCCTTCGGGCGACCCCCCATTTCTCTCCTTTGCTTCCCGCCCCCGCCTGGGAAAGGGCGGCAGGGGAACATGGGATCCCGGACTCCGAAAGAAGACTTGGCCCTTCTCCACGCATGCCTCCAACGCGGGACCGCTTTGCACGGGCAGTCTCCAACTCACGCAACTTGAGAGTCTCGTCTGGATCCGCATCCCGCAAAGCTTCCCGGCAGCCTCTGTCTCCCGCAAAGGCTCCGCCCCCGCCTCCCAGCAAGTCGCGGGGGAAGAAAGGGCAGACGCACCTCCAGCTTCTACCCACTAACGCCCCGGGCAACACGTGCCTTGTACTAGCGGAAGAGGCTGGCACATGCTCAGTTCTGTCCTGAAGCTGAGAGCGCCCCCTAATGGGCTCTGCGCACGAGACCCTTCAAGGGCGGGAAAGAGGAGAGCTTCTGAAGGGAAGGGAAGGGGAGGGCAGGGATGATGGGCATGGGAGTAAGAGGCAAGGCCGCTCAGTGTTTCTCTGTCAGAAAAAGGTATCGTCTTCTCCAGAGGTGGCAGTTTCTCCATCTTCCTCTTTTTCCTGTCCAGGAAGAGTCTGTGGAGATGGGAGAACTTGCTTCCCTCAAGAACAGCCGCCCTCAAGGCACCGCAGAGATTGGAGGAGGCCTCAAAAGAGGCCAAATCCTCTTAGAAACGGCCGTGCGGTCAGGACCAGATGTCTATTGGTCTTGATTTCTTTAATCCAATATATGTACCTGCTTCTCAAATACTTGGCTCTGGCTTCCTGGGTGCCTAATAATAATTGGAAAGACCAAGTGACAGCTTATGAAAAAAAAATACTGTAGAAGAAAACCAGTTCCAAACTGGAGAAAAAGCTGAAACCAGTGGATGTTCCAGAAATTTTACCTCACAACAAGGCTCCTTGATGGAGAAATGAAGCGGGGGGGGGGGTGTGTGTGACGTCTCATCAGGACAAAAGATAGAATTTTAAAACTGAAGGAAAGCAAATACTGAAAAAGGAACATAAAACTCAAACCATGTGGGACAAAACAAAACAAAATCTGTTTTACATGGGGGCTGATTAGGGAATTCACCTCAGGACACCAGAAAGCTTAAGGCCTTTGGAGATTTTAAAGCAATTGGAATATCTTTAGATGATGAATAAATAGAGAAAAAAAATGTTCTAACCAAAATAGTTGAAAACACCATCACTCTGAAGAGATTCCCACGTTTTGAGTTGACAGAGCAAGAAAAAAAATTAGCAAAAGAAATTAGCAAAAGAAAGAACTGAAATTGTGAGGGAAAAGTGATGAAAAAGCCATTTCAAAGCAATGTTCTCTTCAACCCATTTCTTTCCCTGTCCTGGTTTTTTCTAATTCTCTAATTTTATAGCTCTGCCTGTGCGGAAAAGAAGCCAGAGTTGCTGCTTGCACTTGGGAAGAGCCTCTGCAACCAGGCAGCACCGCTCTTGCCCTCATTTCTTCGAACTCCACACAGCCTCTACTTTTCCCCAAAGGGCTCTACAAATTTCCAGCCCCAGAAACCAGAGAGATGGGCTCCAGCATTGAGGCATTCATCCTCCCACTCAGCATTTGCTCATAAGCATCCACACCGATGTTCTACCTGTCTGGCCAATTGAGCCATAGCTGTCAAGATCCAGAGGCAGCTACACCCACCCTGCTTCTTAGCCCAGACAAGCAAGTACCAAAATAGAGCATGGCTAGATGTGTACAAGGAGATCAGAAAACGGCAAGCAGAAGGGAACTGTTGTATGGAGATTGGCAACTATTTCAGGCAGGCAAGAGGGATGTTGGTCAGCTGCCAGAACCACCAGCTACGATGAGCAATGTATCCTGGTGGATTCTTGCCTGGAGCTGGGCTACTTTGAAACAGCCCCTCATTCCAACCAGTGCGAGGGTGGTATGGTACTTTACAGACTTTGGGACTTTTGTTAGGATTGAATATTAAATACCTAATTACCTCATAATAGCAACTTGCAAGATCTAGAAAGATGGAATTAACCCTTTTGTTCGAGAAGGGGTGTGCCACAGTAAACCATTGTGTACAGATCTGCTATGCTGTGGTGTATCCAATCTTAGAAAGCAAAATCCCCTTTGGCTGCCCATCTGATTTACGTGTCTGTAATGAGCAATTACAGTGCCTTGACACATCCAGACACATGCCAGCTTTCCCTTCCTTTATAAACAGTCTCCAGTGAAGGCGAGACTGAGACTATTCTAACTCAGCACCAAAACTCTGCATACCACTAAGAAAAATGCTTCCTCACTCTCAGGTGTTTATTTTAATACAGTGAAGAGAAAGAGGATTTAATATGTCACTGGAAAGTAACCACACCAATGATATTTAATTAATTTTATTTAAAGGTAATTTAAACCTTTTCTTAGCCCTTGTGACACAATGAAAGGTATAATACGCTTGAAAAGTCTTTTGCACAGGCGTTTGAGAGGCTTCTCATCTTTCTGGTTCCTTTTTAGTGACAGAATTCTACATCCTGAATCTCTTTGCACAGTCTATATCAACATGTATGTGAGGATTTGATTATCCACACGGTCAGTTGGGAGGACAGAGAAGTGTCTGTCCGCTGATAAACTGTGAGCACATTAAGGAATGAGAAAGGAGGGGAAAAGACTAGGCAAAACTTCAAATTATGGGAAGTGGCTATGGATTAGCTGAATTTCCATATGCACGTCTGCTATAGTGGAAGGAAGAATAGAGCTTCGTTTTGAAGAAGTGCATCAAGGAAATTTTATTGCTTTTATTGCTGGGGGGAGAATACCTGTAAAATGTCTACCTGTTGATAACCCTCCCACAATAAGGATCAAGTAGAAAGAACAAACAATTTTTGAAAAGTTCCCTTGCAAAACCACAATACTGACAGCTTTATAAAATTGCATAGTCCAGAATCTGAGATTATTAAAACAGACATTTTCTTGGAATTGACCCCAACTGAAAACTAAACATAAAAAAGATGTTCATTATTGATATAAAATAGTGTTGTCACCTTCAAATGACCGTAGGATTAAAAATCCACACTTCAGAATTAAAACAGCAGTGCCCATTGTTTGTGTTTCCATTGGCAATTTTATCTCTGGGGTTTCCAGTTGTGAGCGCAAACTCAAAAAAACCCCCACTTTCCTAGTTCAGCACACACAAATAGGAAATGCATAGATTTCACCCACTAAATCTGGAATTTAAATGGATTTGAACCAAAATGGATCGGTGTATGGAAAAGTAAGTCATTTTCCCACTCCACACATTTATATGGCTTTTCCCCTGAATGGATTCTTTTATGTCTCATAAGGGACGACATTTGACAGAAGCCCTTTCCACACTCCATGCACTTGAATAGCTCCTCTCCTGTGTGGATCCTTTTATGAGAGTTAAGATAACTGCTCGTAGTAAAGTCCTTTCCACACTCCGCACACTTATACGGCTTCTCCCCTGTGTGGATCCTTTTATGGGAAGTAAAGGAACTCCTTTGACTGAATCCCTTTCCACACTCCATGCATTTATATGGCTTTTCCCCTGTGTGGATCCTTTTATGGGAAGTAAAGGAACTATTATGACTGAAGCTCTTTCCACATTCCGTGCATTGATATGGCTTCTCCCCTGTGTGTTTCCTTTTATGCGAAGTAAGTTGACTGCTCTGAATAAAGGTCTTGCCACACTCGGTGCATTGATATGGCTTCTCTCCTGTGTGGATTCTTTTATGAGATGTAAGGGAACGGCTCTCTCTGAAACTCTTTCCACACTCCGTGCACTTATACGGCTTCTCCTCTGTATGGACTCTTTTATGGGAGGTAAGATGACTGCTCTTAATAAAGCCCTTTCCACATTCAGGGCATTTATACGGCTTCTCCCCTGTGTGGATCCTGTTATGGGAAATAAAAGAACTCCTTTGACTGAAGCCCTTTCCACACTCCATGCAGTTATATGGCTTCTCTCCTGTGTGGATCCATTTATGGGAAGTAAGATGACTGCTCTGAATAAAGGTCTTCCCACACTCCGTGCATTGGTATGGCTTCTCTCCTGTGTGGATCCTTTTATGGGATGTAAGGGAACGACTCTCTCTGAAACTCTTTCCACACTCCGTGCACTTATACGGCTTTTCCTCTGTATGGATTCGTTTATGGGAAGTCAGATGACTATTCTGAATAAAGGCTTTTCCACACTCCATGCATTTATAAGGCTTCTCCCCTGTGTGGATCCAGTTGTGGTAAATAAGATGACTGCTTGTTCTGAAGCTCTTTCCACATTCCAAGCACTTGTACGGCTTTTCCCCTGTGTGGATCCTTTTATGAACAGTAAGAGAGATGTTTTCGCAGAAGCTCTTTCCACACTCCAGGCATTTATAAGGCTTCTCCCCTATGTGGATCCAGTTATGGGAAGTAAGATGACTGCTTCTTCTGAAGCTCTTTCCACATTCCAAACATGTATATGGCTTCTCTCCTACATGGATTCTTTTCTGAGATGTAAAAGACTCCTTTTCACAAGAAAGAGTCAATTTTTTTCCACTGCCTCTGCATATTTTACTTTCTCCTTTGGTTTGGGTTGGATCATGTTTATTCACATCTAATTTGTCTTTAAACAGTTTTATGTTTTTCATAATGTATTTTTTCTTTATTTTTCCTTGTTGGGCAAGACAGTCTTGCACTGGAGCATCAATGGAAGAACTTTCCCGATTCCAATTATTTGACTGGTTTCTCTCATGTCTCTCTACTTCCATTTGATTTGCAGGCTTCTCCAGTCTGTCTCCACAAGCCATCACTCGGAATGGTTCTCTGGAATTTTCATTTTCTTGTCCATTATTATCTTCAAAGAAAGGAGAAATAAAAATGATAATAAGTTAGGGGGAAAAGTTCAAACTGCAGGAAGTTTGAACATAATTAAAAACAAGCTCCACCAATCTTCTTAAATGCAGCGAAGGCGTTTGAGAATTTGAACTGGACTGTGTTGATTTAAATTTTCGGAAGACATGACCTTTGAAGAGAATTTCCTTAAATGGGTAAAATCGATCTAATCTTTACATAAAGCACAACTAATTGGAAATTTAACAATCCTTGTAAAACACAAAAACAGAACATAAGGATGCCCTTTTTTTCATGCTGCGTGTTGAATTTGGGAGATCTTCTGGAGGGAATAAAAATATCAATGTGGAAAAATTTAAGGAATTTGGCATTTTAATGAGCTTTAATAATTTAAAGATGCTGTTAACAAAAAAAGACAAAAATGGAAGATGAAATAAAATTGATGGGAAAAATTGGTTTTAAAACAGAGAAATTAAAATCAACAAGTTCAGTATTATTATGACCAATATGAACTGATAAAGGAGAATATTTGTAGCTCGGTGTTGTGATACTAGTGCTGATGATGTTACCTAGTATGGATAATGAAACATCTGCAAGAAAACAACCAAGCTCAGAGAGCATCAAGGACCCTCTCCCCATGAACTGTATGTTCTTTTAAAATGTGGAGTGAAAGAGGGATATGTTAAGCTAGGAGAAAATGTGTACGTCATTGTTAGAAAGAATTTCCATGATAAAAATTAATGTTGGCCTAGAATAATATTTCTGTTTCAAATATCTTTTTAGACAACTGATGTGCCATTTAAACCACACAGGTCCAACCTGAACCTTGCAGACCACATGTGGGTGTGGACAGCTAGTAATGTGGCCCCATAAGATATAAAAATATCAAAAAAAAAAGTTTGTTATTTATATACATTAATTATATATTTTATAGGTCAGTGATGGCGAACCTTTTAGAGACCGAGTGCCCAAAAACTGGCCCCGCCCCCGCCTCCCACCCCGCCACCCCACCTGCCTGCAGGGCCACTCACCGCCTCCAGAGCCCGCCGATCACCCAGGCAGCCCAGCAGCGCTATGGCGGTCATGCCCTCTGCCCGCGCCCTGCAGCATCAACTGTGCACGATGGGGTGTGAGGGCAGTCTTGTCTACGCTGCTTGGCTGCCATGTCCTTGGCTGCGCTGCTTCGCGTGGGCCACGCTCAGGGGTGACTCTCCTTCAGGGGGGCTGCTGGAGAGGAGGGAGTAGCGGGGGGAGGCGAGGCTGGGGCAACAGCACGTGTGCCCACAGAGACGGCTCCAAGTGCCGCCTCTGGCACCCATGCCATAGGTTCGCCACCACTGTTATAGGTGGACCAAGATAATTTCTCTTCACTTAACGTGGCCCAGGGAAGCCAAAAGATTAAACAGTAGCAGAATGATAGACACAAGGTTTGTGTGGCAAGGGAAAAAGCCACAGGTTGAGTATCAAATTCTCCAAGATGTAAAGGAAACAAGACCTGGTCTGCCTGATGTGAAATTGAACTTTGCAGCCTGCTGTGTGCTTTCGATGAAAGAATGTGGGTTGCTGGGCAATAAAAGAATTTTAGAATTTAAAAAGCATGACCTAAGATTTGGATGGCATGGGTGTTGGGTAATGTATATTTTTTAAAACAATGATCTTAGAAGTGCCATATTGAGAATATGGAACAGATACAAATCCAGACTGTGCCATTACAGCTCTCAACATAATAAGCATTTTACAGAAGAGAAGCAGTCAGCAAAGACGATGAATAACATGTCAAGAGCCATTAGAACTTGAGCAAGGGGAATATCAAATGAAATCAAGAGAGCAATTGATGGCAGAAGGATATAGTTATCGCTGGTTTTCAAACTGTCATCAGAAAGATTCAAGGTAGATAAAAGGACCTATGGTATTCAACAACCTAAGGCAAAATTTGAATCTTGGTTGTGTAGAAAGGATGAACATTAATTGCTAAAACCTATAAACAGTTAAAAGAATGTATGATAAAATCGACAAAGAAATTTTTCATAATATACAGATGTAACAAAATATGTGGTTGAAAGCAGTGAAATTTACATTATGTTACAATCTAAAAGGCAACTTTTATAAACTGATGTAATACAAAAAATTTCAGAAGTGTATAAAGGTACCTGAAACTTATACTGGAAATGTGGGCAACATTAAGACTGTCACGTTTTGGTGGACAGGTAAAAAAGGTAGAAAATTTTGGATTCAAATACAGAGAACTTTAAAGATAAATATCCAACTGAAATTAGAACACTTTGTTAGTGCTAACGAACAGACAGCTGGAAAACAGCCATAGAAGATTGCTCCTGACTTCATATGATAACTGCAGTGAGACTATTATACCCCCAAAACTGGAAGGACTCTACTATAACTACAATAGTGGATGGTTGATAGAAATGACAGAATTATCAAAGATGACTAAATGACCTCTTTGATTAGAGAAAACACAGTATATTGATTAATGATTGGAAACCCCTGATGGACTTCTTGCTAAAAAAAAGAAAAAAAATGAACTTCTGATCTATAAGTTTGAAGATTAGAAAGGATCCATTATGTACAGTAAGAGAAAACTCTTATGTAAATTTAGAGAAAGAAGCTAAATTTTAACATTTCTTATTTTCTATTCTTCTGTTTCCTTTTTTCATTTTATTATACTGTTTTAAAATTTGTTTATCACCTTACTCTACTGTACCTCTTCAAAACTTGTATTGTTTTTAGTCCTATACATTTGATAAAATTATAATAAAAAAGACATAGTTGATATCATCTAATTACAAAGAATTGAGGCCTTTGAACTATGGTGCTGGAGAAGACTCCTGCGAGTCCCTTGGACTGCAAGGCATTCAAACTGGTCAGTCCTAGAAGAGATCAACCCCAACTGCTCTTTAGAAGGCCAGATCCTGAAGTTGAAACTCAAGTACTTTGGCCACCTAATGAGAAGGAAGGACTCACCGGAGAAGGGCTTAATGCTGGGAAAGATTGAGGGCAATAGAAGAAGGGGACAACAAAGAATGAGGTGGCTGGATGGAGTCACTGAAGCAGTAGGCATGAGCTTAAATGGACTTCAGAAGATGGTAGAGGATAGGAAGACCTGGAGGAACGTTGTCCATGGGGTCGCGATGGGTCGGAGACGACTTCGCAACTAACAACAACAAATATATCTAATTACAGAATGTCTTCCCAAACACTCTGACTGGGGAGTAGCAAGCCCTTACCCAGAGAGGCCACGTTCCTATGATTTTCCACCATGACTTCCCAATGCAGCATTTTTTGGTCAGGATCCAGTCGAGACCACTCCTCCTCAGAGAAATACACAGCCACCTCCTCAAAGGACACATGGCCCTCCTGAACAAGGAAAAACACAACAGAGTAAGACCAGGGTAATTTAGAAGATGTCTTATTGTTTAAATCATTGCAAGCACAGATACACATTTTCAGTGCCATTTAGTGAAAGGAACCCCAGTTTCCTTCTGGATCGATCTATCTGTCCGTCCATCTGTCTATCTATCTAGACTTTCTGCATCTGGAGAGAATAAACTGGCAGATGGGCCTTGGAAAGCCCACTTCTCAGGGACTCCAATCCATTTAGCATTTCATTAAAAAGCTTAATGAAAAGCCTTTTTGAAATGGCATTGTGCTAATGTGGTTATTTCAGTTATTATTGAGCAGTCTGGCAAAAATTGCATGTCAAAGAATTTCTAAAATGATCACTCTACTTAACAGATGCTCACACTATGATAGCCTTATTTTTTATTAGGCTTCTCTTACTTGAGTTGTAAGTTCAATGATTGTTTCAGTTTCAGCATAATAAGCATGCGTTATCTTCGTTCTATTTTTCACTGCATGGGAGACAGAATTTTAACATCCATAATTAACAAAATAGGACTAGGTATTCTACAGAAGAGAAGATGAAGAGAAAATGAGTCAGCTGGGATTTCTCTAGGGAATGGGAAAACCTTCAATTACCTTCTGAAGTATCCTGACTTGGATCTTCCTGGGAGATCCTCCTCCAAATCATCTCCTGAAGAGGATTTGATGGATTCCGCCTTCCCTCGGGACCTCCGATCTTCACAACAGACTTGAAATAGGAGAAAGGAGGGGAAAAAAAGAGTTAATGAACATTCCAAAACAGGGGTCCCCAACCCCCAGTCCGTGAACCAGTACCGGGCCACGGCATATCAGTAACCGGTCCGCACAAAAAAAGCCCCATCGCGGGATGCAGGCAGCACACAAAACCATGCCCCCTCTGGTCCGCGGAAAAAACACGGAATTGGTCCCTGGTGCTCAAAAGATTGGGGACTGCTCCAGAACATTAAGTTGATTCCTGTTCTCTGAATGCAAACCTGAAAATCCCCAATATCCATCAGTGAGTCTGAATGAGACACAAATGGAACAATGTCCTACAAGGATTAGGAAAAGGTCTCCATGTAATTTAAATGCCAGAGAATTCTCAGAGGGAGGGGTGAACAATTCAAGCACAATCTTTATTTCTCCTTTTGGGCTCCCACCTGCAACTTGACCTGCT